CATAAATAATATAGTCTTCAATGTCAGAAAGAACTACTGGCAAGTTCTGAAAGAGAGAATGTGGCAAGAGGGATCCAAATTTCTATTGTATTGCTCTATAACTAAATAAGATTGAAGGCTAGGTAAATTATGCTTTGCTTGAATGATGAAACATTATAATGAATAATTTACATTAAATTTCGTACTTCTATAAGGGGTTGTAAGAAAATTAAAGAAGAAGGAAGACATAGAATTTTATAAAAATATTTCTTTATAAAATTAAGAAATTAAAACTTAAATAATAATAAGCTATGGTTTATTACCTACATTCTGATGCCAAATTTATTCATATATATTGATAATAAAATTATTTAATCAAATTTTGAATGTAACTCTGTGAAAGGTGGTGTCATGCGCACTTTGACCTACCTGAGGTGAAAAGGTTAATCCTGTGGTACTTTTAGATGGCTTTATTTTCATGCAATTTTTTGTCATTGATGAAACCTGTTAGAAGTTGGTTGTGGACAGCTGTGTGCAAACTGTATGCTGTTTAGTTTTTTTATGATACAAAGTTCAAAGCAAAGTACTGGTGTTTGCCTCGCATATGGGGTGTTTTACAGTGCATATTCAGTACCCAGGGGTTCACATCTCATGCACCCCAACAAATTCTTGTGCATATGGGATCCAGGAATTCAGGTAAACTAGAACCCTAATTTGAATATTTTGTAGCCATCTAATTTACTCTCTAAACCTAACTAGGATTATGTGATGTCCTGTCAAATAATAAAATTTCTGAAGCTTTCAAACAAATATAATTTAACAAAATAAAGTTTCAATAATGTAAACATTCTATAGACTTTCTCTTTTATATATAAAAGGGTCTGTGATTTGTTCAGAGTCTTCTAAATTGTCTTACTCTGCAGGAGCTACATCCTATCTATTTCCCATGAAACCATAAAATTACTTCTCATAACTCTTCATTCATCTTACACTGATGTAAATAGTTCATAATATGCTCTATTTTGAAGGGTGAACTTTATTGGTAGTTGTTTACATCACATGCTGCAAGATAATAAAAGGTGGTGGGAACCAGAGACAATACTAGTAAAATTAGAGAAAGAGAAGGAAAATCATGTGAGAAAGAAAACCTTGAGAATTATATTCACAAGGGACAATAGTTTCTTAACAACTATAAACATATGCTTTGAGATTGGCAGAAAAATTCTAAAAAAAATCACTAAGTGTATTGTTTACAAGTGGCATTTCTCCAAGATGAGCAGAAATGTTTGAACTGTTTTTTTATTGTTCTATTAGAATTACACTAAATAAATGTTATAAAATGATAAAATAACTTATTTTAAACTAAAAAAATTGTTGAAATTATTATCTTGACTTAAACTCTGAAATTTGATATGTACTTGACACATGAAATATGCTCACAAGTCAGGATAGGGTCATTACAAGTAGCATAAGCTAAACACTTTTACAGCATTACACAAATAAATATATCTTTATTCATGCAATTTTCAAAAACTGTAGTGCAGGTTTTCTTATTAACTTTGAAAGAATATGGCATACCCAAATCTGAATTATAATAATAATCTTTCTTTTAAGGATTCTATCACATGACTGTAGGCTGGTATCAAGACTTGACTATTTTTCACACCTGACCAATTAGGTGTATGAATCATTAAGTAGGTCTATGCAAGTTATCTTGCACTTTGGTAATATAAAGTTATACACGTCAGAAATTGGTTTTCCTTTCCTTTCAAGGAGGCTTGCCTAAAGAATGGTTGAAAAGGCATTCTGGGGGGGTTTAATATAGCTCAGGGGCATGTGTACATATATAATCCCAACAAAAGTCATTTTTCTCCCAGTTATACCTTTGCATATTGCCCAGTGTACTCAACAGTTGTCATAAAAACAAGAGAGAAATGTATCAGTTAAAAGCAACATAATTGAACACAGACATTTAGGTGAAAGTTCTTCCTATTTATTGTTTGTTCATTAAATATTTGAGTTTCAAAACGAAACATTTGTGTCTAGTTTATTTATGGTTGAGTCCAACTTATTTTACATTCTACATATAAATTATGTCATATCTCACTGTTTTTTGAGTATTAATAAACTACTTACTGAATTAAACTTTACCAATGAATATCACAGACTAAGTTAATAAAAGCAACAAGGATTTATTATTTTGGAAATTAAAGGCCACACAATTTTCTATTTGCAACAGAGAGGTCTTTTGATGAAAATGAAGGTTTTATGATGTACAGGAGAAATCAGCAATTGAGAAGGAATTGAGATCTGAAGCACTTAAACATACAGTGTCATATTAATGTTTTCCATCCAGCCTCAGGGAGATGAACAACAGTTCAGGGACCTCTAAAATGCTGATTCACAACACTAAGGAAAAAGCCAATATGCTTATGAC